AGAACCCCCCCCCCCGGATCTTCAGTTCATCTATATCTATGCCAGGGGTCTCTAACCCCTGGGCCACGCATACAAGCAAAGCCCCATCCACGGGATGCAGGCAGCATGCGAAACCACGACGCCTCCGGTCCACGGAACCGGTCCCTGGTGCCACTGATCTAAAGCCATAAAACGATCTGGTTTTGACTTAGTTTAACGTGCGAGAACTGGACCGATGCTTTGATTTCAGTACCGGCCTAGCCTGAGGTGTGCCCCCCGCCCCAAGATATACTGGGAAAAGGGCCACTAAAATCACACAGATTTATTCCAGACTTAGCCACAGCAAACAGAATCATGGGCACCATGTTGCTTCTGCTGTCTTTTTCTCTCTCTCTCTCTTCTCCAGTTACCAAGTTCATTAACTACTACGGGAACTGTCATCAATGACACCCCTGTAAATTTGTCAGCAGCTGATACAGACATAACTTATCAAGCAGTTCTTGAATGTGGAAATGCCCAGTCTTTAGAGCAATTAAACGAACAAACAAACAAAAATGTGCCAGGCCAGGTTTTGAAATAAAATAAACCAGAGGGCAGGATCCTTTAAACTGTGTGTGTGTGTGTGTGAGTAAATGGGAGGCTCAAGCTTGGGTGAAATTAAACAATTAAACCTTTGTTTGGGTGACAACTGGGAATCTTTTCAAGGGGACAGGAAACGGTTCTTTTTGGGAGCTTTTTGGAGAAGAGAAGTTAAGCGAAAGAGGCTTACACAGTGGGAATTAAATTCCATGCACTGTTTGCTCCTCCCGGCTCCTGATGGAAAAACTTCAAAACAGTTTTTTTTTTTTTTTGGGCTCTGCTACGTCGTCCGGTGAAATCTGAGCACTTCCGGTTCTCTAGGGTGGCTCAAGTTCTAAGTCAAGGGCTGGATTGAAGCATTTCAAAAGAGACGGCTTCTGAGGAAGTGCAGAGTGCTCTTCCACCTGTCCCCAGCTGAGCCCAGCTCAAGCTCCCTCATCCTGGATTAGAGCCCAGTGGTTCAAAATGGCAATAACCATTTTGTCCTTGCCCATCATCCTGCCAACAAAAGAGCGTATAGTCAAGGCGATGGTTTTCCCAGTTGCAATGGATGGCTGTGAAAGTTGGACCATAAGGAAGGCTGAGGGCCAAAGAATGGAGGCCTTTGAACTCTGGTGCTGGAGAAGACTCCTGTGAGTCCCTTGGACTGCAAGGCCATCCAACCGGTCAGTCCTAGAGGAGATCAACCCTGACTGCTCTTTAGAAGGCCAGATCCTGAAGAGGAAACTCAAATGCTTTGGCCACCCAATGAGAAGGAAGGACTCCTTGGAGAAGAGCCTCATGCTGGGAACGATGGAGGGCAAAAGAAGAAGAAGGGGACGGCAGAGAAGGAGGTGGCTGGATGGAGTCACTGAAGCAGTCGGCGTGAGCTTAAATGGACTCCAGAGGATGGTAGAGGACAGGAAGGCCTGGAGAAATGTGGTCCATTGGGTCGCGATGGGTCGGATATGACTTCGCAACTAAAAACAACAACAACAAATTCTTCTCTTGCAAGTTTGGACTGTGCCATGCAGAACCTCACTTGAAAGAATCCTGACCCACGGGCCACGGGCATGCTCATAGGGTAAAAAACAGGTTACTTCCTGGTTAAAACCAGGAAGTAGTGACGATTGGATGGAGCCTTGCGCCGCCATTGCTACCAGTTCTCCGAACCACCGTCCGCCATCGCTACCGGTCCAAACCAGGAGCATTTCACCCCTATCCTGACCCTCTTCATCCCCTCAATTTCAAGCAAGAGGAAGGGGAAAAGAAGCAAGGAGAGAAGCAGTTTTTCCCATCACAGTCTAATCTAGAGCCCAGAAGTCAATAGGCCTGGAAGGGACCCCAAAGGTCTTCTAGTCCAACCCTCTGCTCAAGCCAGGAGTCTCACTCTATCCTGATGGAACAGTTGTGATCCCGTCTATCTCCTAAAACCCCCAGCGATGGAGTTCATCTAAGTTACCTTCTAGGCATCAAAAGTCCCCAAACTGTGGTTTTTAAACCTTGAAACGTAATCACGGATCGCCACAACAAGCTCGTGTCTCCTGCCTTGCGTCTTGGCCTCGAAGCCGACTTTGAGAAAGGCAGGAAGCAAGAGATGACGTTATCCAAGGGGGGGAAGTCACTGCTAGACGGCACCTATCACATCTGTAGCATCTCACCCTTAAAAAGGTTGGGCCTTGAGCATATAAATTAAAGCATAATAATAATAATAATAATAATAATAATAATAATAATAATAATAAGGCAGACTACTGAAAAGAGAATACACGATGTTTGCCTTTTTACCTTTCAGCATTTTATGGAGTTGTAAGATAAAATAAGATGCAAAACGGGTAAGTAAATAGGAAAGCAGTGGGGGGGGGGAGGGAGGTTGCATTTAATCAAGTTCATCCCGGTTTGGTTTTTAAAAGAAGGAGGAATGGCGGTGCTGTAATCTAGACAAGCTCAAAATCTCAGAATTCTCAGCCTGGCCGGGACAGCCTCTTTCCCCAGAATGCAACTGGCCATTTCCATAGACAGCTATATAGATATATACATCTATATATCAGTGGTGGGTTTCTAATTTTTTTACTACCGGTTCTGTGGGCGTGGCTTGGTGGGCATGGCAGGGGAAGGATACTGTAAAATCTCCATTCCCTCCCCACTCCAGGGGAAGGATACTGCAAAATCCCTATTTCTTCCCCACTCCAGGGGAAGGATACTGCAAAATCCCTATTTCTTCCCCACTCCAGAAGGATACTGCAAAATCCCCATTCCCTCCCCACTCCAGGGGAAGGATACTGCAAAATCCCCATTCCTTCCCCATTCCAGGGGAAGGATACTGCAAAATCCCCATTTCTTCCCGATCAGCTGGGACTTGGGAGGCAGAGAATAGATGGTGTGTGTGTGTGTGTGTGTGTGTGTGCAGTCAGAATTTTTACTACTGGTTCTCCAGAACTGGTCAGAACCTGCTGAAACCCACTTCTGATTTATATCTATATCTATCTACCCACCCCATCCCACTCCACCCCCTCCCTCCCTCCCTCCCTCCCTCCCTCCCTCTCTCTCTCCATGCATCGGCCTGTATACTGAAGCCTCCCCCACCTCCAGTTTTTGGCAAGGAGGAGGAAAACAGGGTCTGGCGGACGACAGCTGTTTCCCAGGCCAGATGGGGAAAAAAAACTGTCAAAATAATTTGAAAATATTCCTGTTCGTTTCAGAGGGACATGCAAACCCTTCCGCCCCCACTTTCCCAAAGATCTGCTCACAATACACTTGGAAAGGCTGCAGGGGGAGAGAGAGAGAGAGAGAAAGAGAAAAAAAAAAATCACAATCCACCAGTTCCCAGGGCTGCTGTTTGTTTTAGTAAGCGTGCCCACGGTAGGGTTGGTGCATGTGTGTTAAAGTTCGCTTCTCCAAAAGCCGGTTTTTCCGTCCCTCCAAAAAGAGAAAAGGGTCATTAAAATGCAAATTTTTGTTCTTGCCCTCTTCCCTTGATCGCCCATTTGTGGGTCAGGCCAGCAGCGGTGACACAACAGGAACAAAAAAAAAAAGAACAACTTTGTAGGAAGCAGTTTCTCGTCCCCAATGGATTGGAGGGGAGGAGATGGGGGGGGGAGGGAGATCCGTGTGTCAAAGCCGCCATTAATTCCGCACCGTTGACAGCTCCTTGGGTCATAGAACGGGGAATTTCAACAGATGCCCTTTGTACCAGGGAGGGGAAACAAAACAAAAAAAAACCCCGCCAGGTCCCCGTTATTCAATTAAAAAGAAAAGCATGAGTCACAATCACAAGAACTTCCTGCCTCCGTTCAGAGCAAGCAACCCACAACAGGCAGGGCTTGTGCAGTACTGTCACCGAGCGATTTTTTTTTAAAAGAATTCGTCCAAAACCTTGGAAATAAAAACGCCTGAGCCGCCACAAAAACACCAGAGGAGGAAAACACACGTTTAAAGCTGTTTTCACCTACGCGGGATGGATCACCACAAGAATCCAGAGGCTAATAGATAAAAACACTTAGTGGATTTAGGCCAATTCCAACCACCTAAGATCTTCTGTTTAGTTTAGTTTACTTTATTGTCGTGGCACACGGTACGACGAAATTAAATGCCTTCTTCAGTGCATGTTAGAACTATTAACAATAAAAATACAAACATACATATCCCTTTACATTCTATATCATTGAAATCGAAAACCCCGATATTGCACTATACCGTAGAATTCAGTATGGTTATCGCCCTGGGAGAGAAGCTGTTTTTCAGCCTTATTTGTCCTTGTTTTTAGTATCCTGTACCGTCTGCCAGATGGTAATAGTTCAAAAAAAGAAAAGAAAAAAAAAGGAGGGGGTGCCCAGGATGAGATCTGGGATTCCTCTGTCTCTTTTTTCCAGCAGTATAAGCAGGGCACCCCGTCCAAAATTACATCCAGATCATTGGGGGGAAAAAAACTTTGCACATGTCAAAGGAGAACCAATCCTGAAATCAGCTGACAAAACCATGCCTTGCCAGTCCCCCAAATCAAGGAGAACGGAA